AAATCCTGAGTCTCGAGCCAGACTTCCAAAACTTCCAAAAATGGATTTACTGGGAGTTAACATGTCCAGCAGGTTTTTTTTTTTTCCCCTGCAGGTTTTTCACCAAGGAAGGAAAATCAGGGAGTCCGGTTAAACAGGAAATTTTCTCGACTTATAACAGCTCGCTTTGCGACCATTTGAAGTTGTGACAGACAACACACACACAACCCCCCCCCCCACCCCCCAAAAAGTTGCTTATGACACAACTCTGAACTTCCAAAAGTTAGCTCCTCCCCGGTAGTCATGTGACCTGCATTTTGGGTGTTCCCCAATCTGCCCTCATTTATGTCCGTTTGAAACATCCCGGTGACTTCAATTTATGACGGTGTCCCGTCCCCCCGTCCCCCCGAAAAATCGGCATTTTATTTCTGGTTTCTGGCCCAAACCCGTACCCCCATAGCAAACGATGAGCTCTCCTCACAACCGTCACAAATAAAGAAACGGTCATAAAATAAAGTCGTTGGGATAAAGTCCACACCCATCTTAAATGTTGCCAAGAACGTTTAAGAAAACACCGAATTAGATGATTGTAGCATGTATGAGTTGGTCATCTAGACCAACCCCCCCTCCCCCTTCATTACAGGACCAATCATTTCCAATAGCTTCTAGTATTTTTATTTTAATATTTTTTATATTTTACTTTATCTAATATTTTTTATACTTTATTTTATCTTAATTGTTTTATCTAAAAAAATTTTTAATGATCTTTTTAACCTGTTTAAGCCACCCAGAGTCATTGGCAGGAAATAAAACACCAGAAATAAATAAAATAAATGGCCAACACACTGTACGTACAGTGGCAATGAGTCCCCAAAGCCAAACAGAGTAGGGGTACAGGTAAGAGACCACATAAAGAAAGGGCACTGTGGAAGGCCAAACAACTGACTGATCTTAATTCTTCCCAATATTAATATTTATAACATATTTATATCATATTGCAATTTTATACAACCATTATAATATAATAAATTATATTATTTATATAATATTTATTTATAAAAAGCAGCAGATGGTACACTTTTTTAGGATGAGCTGCTACAGGCAAAGAATACAGTTAGTCCTCGATTTACGACCACAACAGAGCCCACAATTTATGATGCTAAGCGAGACCAAGTGAGCTTTACTCCATTTTATGACCTTTCTTGCCACCGTGACAAATGGAATCTCTCTGCAGTTAAGTGAGCCACTGTGGTCGTTAAGTAAATCCGGCTCCCCCGTTGAAGGTCGCAAAAGGGGAGTCGCGTGACCCCGGGGGCTGGGGGCAGGGACACGGACACCATCCTAAATGCGAGTCAGGCATCAAAAGCATTTACCAAGAAGGTAAATCCCGTCGCAAGCAAGTCGTTTAAAGTGTTTAAAAAAATGATCCTAAGATCCCTTTTTTGCCGTCGTAAGTTTGAATGGTCACTAAGGAACTGTTGCACGTCGGGGACTATCCACGTTGACTTAGCAACGGCAGTGCTTCACTTAACAACAGCAGCGAGGAAGGTCATACGATGGGACAAAGCCCGCTTCAACGGTCCTGGCTTAGAGCAGCGGAAAATTTGGGTGTCAACTCGTAAAACATTCCTATGCCTGTTTTTGAGTTGCCGTAAACCGGGGGGGGGGGAGGCAGTCATGAAATTCATTTATTGGAGAACGTGATTGTTGACACCCAGCCCGTGAACAGTGCTTCATTGGAGAATCTGATTTATGACACACCCAGAGGGGGGGGGGAACAGGGTCACAGGTTATTTGTGAATTTCGTATGCCAGAGTTGGCTTCATTTAGGTTAATGCCGGCCTGTTGCTCCTAATAAACCTTTTGAGGTGTTTTTTTTAAAGCTTGGCCCGAGGCTCATGATTTAATGAGGGCGATCGCCGGAACCCTGACATCGGGGCTCAATTGTGCTCGTAAGCCGAGATTATCTGTACAGGTAATTATTGATATTTCATTTCTAATTTCCAATTTACCTCCCCCCGGGGGCCGGACAGAGAAGTCCAAAGGGCCCGATGTGGCCCCCACAAAATACCGTCTCTCGTGAAGGTTCTTCCCCCCCCCCCCTCCAGCTCCGTGTCCCCTACCTTCACAGCACGTCTCCCCCCTTCCTCGACCCCTCCCAGCTGTCCCGTCCTCCCCTTCTCCCTCCCTCCCACCCCGCCCCGCCCCGCCCCCGGCCTGGATGTTCTCAAAAATGGTGGGTGATCCACCTCCCCTACCCGACTCCAGGGGTTTCTTGTCTCCCACGTGGACGATGGTACTGCTGAAGCTGCAATGACTGGTCACGGACACCACGCTCTCAGCTGTGCTAGTGGGCAAGGCCAGCGGAGTGAGAGGGCTTCCCACCACGGCGGCGGCAGCAGCTGCCGCCGCCGCCCCAGTTTCTTCCCTCTGGCTCTCTGTGGCCGGCAGCCTCTCCTCGGGCACATCTGTCCAAAGAGAGGGCTGGATTAGAACTCAAGGCAGGGGGGGGTGGGGGGTGTCCCAGTACTCCTGAGACGTGCTGAACGGTAGGATGGACAGAGAGAGACCTGGCGATGCCCAAATTCCTCAGCCGAGGCAGCCGCAGCCAACACCATGGGGAGACCTCTTCCGAGGAAGCCACCAGCAACTCCGAGGGACCCCGGGGAAGGAGGAGAAGCAAAACCATGCATAAAGGAACGGGAGAGAATAGCGGAGAAGAGTGGGAGGAGTCGGATGGCAGAGAAGCCCGGGGGGGGGGGGAAGGGGGGGGGAGGAGGGGGGGGATTGGGGGGGGGGGGGGGGGGGTCGGGGAGGGAAGGAAACCCACCTTTGTTCCGCGCGGCCACCTGTTGGCGCACTTTCCGCTTGTCGTCGTCTGAATTGGAGGAGGTGGTGTAGGAGGACGAACCACACTTGCGTTTCACGCGGCTGGGGATGTTACAGCTTTCCAGATATCTGTGGGGAGGGAAAGAGGGGAGAAGATTTGAAAAAGCAGGGGCGTCAGGTGCAGAAGATTAGGTACGCACGTGACGGACGTGATTCAACTACTTTACTGCTGATAGCCTTTAAACAGGAATCTTCTAACTAAACTGCTTTGTTGGTGAAAGTATGTGCGGGAATCTTCTAACCAAATTGCTTTGTTGCTAAAAGCCTAAGTGGAGGAATCTTCTAACTAAGCTGCTTTATTGTTGAAAGACTACGTGCAGGAATCTTCACAAAAAAACTGCTTTGTTGATGAAAGAATGTGTGGGAATCTTCTAAGCAAATTGCTTTGTTGCTGAAAGCCTCTGCACAGGAATCTTCTAACTAAACTGCTTTATTGCTGAAAGCCTCTGCGCGGGAATCTTCTAACTAAATTGCTTTATTGATGAAAGAATGTGTGGGAATCTTCTAACCAAATTGCTTTGTTGCTGAAAGCCTCTGTGCAGGAATCTTCTAACTAAGCTGCTTTGTTGCTGAAAGCAAATGCGCAGGAATCTTCTAACTAAACTGCTTTATTGCTGAAAGCCTCTGTGCAGGAATCTTCTAACTAAACTGCTTTATTGCTGAAAGCCTCTGTGCAGGAATCTTCTAACTAAACTGCTTTATTGTTGAAAGCCTCTGTGCAGGAATCTTCTAACTAAACTGGCTTTATTGCTGAAAGCCTCTGCACAGGAATCTTCTAACTAAATTGCTTTGTTGCTGAAAGCCTCTGCACAGGAATCTTCTAACTAAATTGCTTTATTGCTGAAAGCCTCTGTGCAGGAATCTTCTAACTAAACTGCTTTATTGCTGAAAGCCTCTGCGCGGGAATCTTCTAACTAAATTGCTTTATTGATGAAAGAATGTGTGGGAATCTTCTAACCAAATTGCTTTGTTGCTGAAAGCCTCTGCACAGGAATCTTCTAACTAAACTGCTTTATTGATGAAAGCCTCTGTGCAGGAATCTTCTAACTAAACTGCTTTATTGCTGAAAGCCAGTGAGCA